GTGATACAGCGCGAGCCCTCTGTGTAGTCTTGAGTTTATGTGCTATGAATTTGAAACTCTCTATTGGCATGTAACCATTATTTTCTTTTGTTAGACAAAAAATTGATGTCCTGAGGGGATAAGATAATGTAGAGTGTTGTCATGTGTGGAGGGCAGGGAGCCGTGGAGAGGCACACGCAGACCTTAGGTCAGCAGACCTTAGGGAAGGCTCTTACCGACGGGGGGAGAATGGATGGGGTGGCTCTCCTAGGAGACTCTTTCTCCACTTGGTTTTTGTATCACATAGGCTGTTTGACTGAAAACGCAGTGACCATCAGGTAACTGGACTGGGATCAGGACATCATGTAGGAAATGCCTGAGGCATTCAGTTTCAGGGTGTCTGAGTGGGCATAAGCTGGAGAGCAGGAGTGAGACCTTGATGACCACTGCCAACTTGTTAAGTCAGACTGGCTTTTAATTCCTTCTCAAAAATTCAGATGATCTCTTGTGTACGAACTTTGTTTCAAATTCCTCTTGGAAGTTCTGATTTCTTTTCATCTCATCCTTTGTATTCTACCCAGAATTGCAATACATTTTCCTCTCCAGATCTTTTTCTTTTTCCTCTTTCCTTGACTTTGTTCCCCTGGTTTTCCTTCCCTAGAGTTCCGTCTTCCGAGGGAGGCACAGAGTCAAGGCTGTCTGAATTACTATCCTTATCTCTGCCCACACTCTTTCCTGTTCCCTCCTCCTGCCAAGCTTCCCTCTTCACTCTGCCCTTGAGCCCCTGAGCTGGCCTTGGACTCAGCCTTCTTTGCCAGGTGCCCCTCATGTACAAACGTGTGTACTAATCAGAGCTGCCACGAATGTTCTTTCTTCTGCCTAAATCCTTCCCCTTGTCGCCCTACTCTAAAACCTGCTGCATTGCCTTCCACCAACCTTAAATCTCTGTGTCTTGACTTAGATTTATGTCTTTAACCTTAAAAATGTCTGAAACAGGGTAGGGACAAAAAAAAAAAAAAGGAGTCTGAAACAAAGCTATATATAAACATATATATAAACAAAGCTATATACATCTGTAGCTATATCCCCCTATAGTATAAGATTCAGTATAATGCCATGTGAGTTCTGCTTACTGTGAGGAAGTAAAGAATAATTAAAAATTCCTCCCCAAATAATAAACAAAACTGAATGAAGACATACAAAAATTAAATATTCTTAGAGGAGGACCAGAAGAGATCAGCAGTAGGGCCCTAATGGGTTTTCCCAATCGACAGGGAAAACTGCTTTTACCTGCCATCTAATTTTGCACTGTACTTGGGAGCATGGATTATTTCTGAACATACAAAATTCTGTATCATGAAGTTGAATTTTTCAAATCTGATAATCTGACACCTTGTGTTAATTTTGAGTACTGCTGTACATAGACAGTATCCACTTTTCCTTTTATTTGGTTTATTTATTTGTGAAATACATTAGGGCATCAGTGTAGTATCAGGCCAGTTGTACCTCACCTATAATTGCTGAAAATGCACAATGGACCTTGAAGTTGGGAAGCTGAATTCTAACTGTGGGCTAACCAGCTCCTGTGACCATGTGTAAGTTATTTTCCTCCATAAGCCTTTAGTGCCCTCATGGATAAATGAGACTGGTGGTAAATGTGATTCGTCTCCAAGTATTGCTCAGCTCTAGCACCCTATGAGTTCATGTTTTTAAAACATAGTAATATGTGCCAATTTTATTTAGAAGTTCAGAGCTTGTTTATCCAATAAACAAGAAAATAAGCCAATAAAATTGGAGCTATGTTTGTTTATTTACTGAGGGAAAGTCTTTCAAAGTTTATCTTACAAGTTATGGAAAAGAACCAAATTAGGACATTGGTGATTTATAGTAACATTGATCGAGCTGCTGTTATGATGAATGAAAGCATCCTCACTCTCCAGTGCTGTGGCCAGGATCCCATATGGCTGCTGTGCACTTGAAATGCGGCTGATGATAACAAAGAGCCAAATACTAGCTTTATTTAGTGTAGGATTAATGTGGATTTCAGTAGCCACACATTGCAGGTGGCTTCAGTTTTGGAAAGTATGGATTTATTGAAGATGTAAACATGGAACTTTCCTGACGCGTGCTTTAGAGTTTATTCCATATTTGTGTTTTGTCTTATGTTTTCAGTTATATAGATCTAGCTTAACTGAGTGTAAGGAAAAAGGTAAGAACTTTTTTTTCTGGTTCACAAATAAGAATTAAAAAGCATTAAGAACATGTTGTTTGCTTAAAGGTAAATTTCACAGCCAATTTTTTTTTTCAAAGCCAATTCTCTCTCGTTTGAGAGTTGAGGTTAAAGAAAAGCTAGGAACCTCATGACACGTCAAAACACAATTCCCCTTCCCTCCTCCCTCCTGCAGACACAAGAGGAAAATAAGAAGGAACTGCAAACTTTCATCCTGTCCACCTTGTTCCATACCTCAACCCTCATCAGCCTAATCGGAGGCCCACATGGGCATGTAGCCCCCTCAAACAATATTAAAAATAAAAGGAAACATCAAATGCACAATTTTATATTTTATATAATACAAACAAGTTTATAAAATGTCATTTAGCTTATTTTAAAAAAAATCCAACCAGGAACCACTTAAGAATTTTGAACAACAACTCCAATACGCAATTTGAAATTCATTACAGATTATTTGCCAGAGGTGTACTTTCCTTTGTGCTCTTGAAGGTAAAATTAAAGCTGCTCATCTGACTCTTTGATTAGCACATCATCTTTCACACTTTCTTCCGTTGTCTTCACTGGGGAGGCTTTAGGCCCTCCCTTCAGGTAAACACTTCAACAATAGCGCGCGAACACACACGCACACACACACACACACATTCGCTCTCATTTGCATTCTCCTCAACCTTCCTCTCTCCCCCTCCCCCAAACACACCTTGCTAAGATGTCAGGTGACTGATAGCAGTTCATGACATTCCTAGTGAAAGCATCTCTCATTGTAAGATGAACGTGCTTTGGAGGATCTGAGCTCAAATGAGTAAAATGATGAGCAACTTAGGAAGGCTGATTGTGATATCTGTAATGAGTTTGATCTTATCCAATCCTAAGGCCACTACATACCAAACTTCCTTACAATAAAACTCTTATGCAGGAGCTCATGTAACAGTACAGTGCGGTAATCTCTCACCTGCTATGCTGAAATCGCATAGCGTCCCAGCTGCTCCACTAGGAATTTAGCTCCCTGCCAGTGCACTTGGAAAAGCATCAGAAGACGCCCAGACTGCTCGGGCACATGTAGCTTGTTGGACAACCCACGTGGAGTTCTGGGCTCCTGCTTGTGGTCACATGGGGAGTGAACCGGTAGATGGAAGATCTTCACCCCCTTCCCCATCTCTATCATTTCACCTTTCAAATAAGTAAATGTATTTTTTAAAGTAAATGTTAAAAAAAGAAAAAAATAAAAAGAATATCCATCCAATATGCTTCCCAAATATTCAGAACTAGCTAACCACAAATATTTTAGATGCAAAGTACATGCTTTTCTACCCTTCAATTAAAGGATGAACCATTATGTATTTCAGAGGGAAGCTTGACTTAAGAATTTTTGTTAAATAGTTTATAGAAAATAACTATTACTCTAATGACACAAAGCACTACAAAACTGAAATGCATGTGGGATTTTATTAATCAGAAGGTCAGCATTGTGATTGCTACTGAGTTCAATTCCTTAAGAAATTGTTACTGTATTTAATTGTTCCACAGTGCAACATATGTGTATTTTTAGAATGTGCGACTGGCTGTGGTGTCCTATTCTGATTCACCTTTGGGAAGGAAGGAAGTCACACACATCTACTTTTATTGCACTGGACAAAGAATCACAGGAATGTTCTCTTCTGGTGATATGGAAGAGCTACAAGTTGAGAAATCATTTCATTAGCACAAAGGCCATGCTGATTGTGCCACAGTCACCAGCGTGATAAACATTAGTGCGCAATTTGAAATTCAGACTCCCTAGCGCCAAGCACTTCCGGAACAGACTTTTGCTGTTAGTACTTATTTGTGTTAAGCTATCCCTAGGCTTATCTTCTTATAAAAGTTAACAACCTTTGTGATCTCCTTTTCCCCTACAGACCTTGCTTTCCGTTATTAAACGCACTGGATTCTAGAGTTCGTTTTATATTGCAAATGTCCAGTAGATGGCAGCCCATACACTAGAATTCACAGAATGGCCTCAGACTCTTAACTGCAGTTGTATGGTTTTAGTTTTAATCTGCGTTTTGGAAATTCTGATAAAATTTCACGCAAGGAGGTCAAAGGATTACTTTAAGGTATTGTTGTCTTCATATTTAGTTTTGAAGGATTAACACAAATGCATCTTGTTTTTCTTTGGGAGAGATTGTGGTACCATAAGAAGTAGAGAGAGAAAAGCCAATGCTTTCATGAGTCAGTGCATTCTGAGAATCCATGGGAGTTTGCCAGGTCAGAGATAAGTGTCAGTCTGCTGCAGTGCTGGAGGCTCCCAGGTTAAATGAAGGTCAAGGGGCCGGGGCTTAGGAAAGGACTAGGCATGCACATGTAAGGTAGCCATAGTTGAGGCTAAGAAACAGGTGGACGAACAGGATATACAGTATTGGCATGTGAGGGGAGTTTAACCAATAGTTAATTAACTGATGAATTCTTACCTGGCCATCGTCATCTCCAGGTCTGATTCACAGTACATATTTCTTCAGCGAATGAAGGGATGGGCTAACAATGCAGAGGACATTGATAACGGAAGCCCAAGAGTTTGAGGCAGCAAAAGAGTTCAGCAGCTCCAAGGATAGTGGTGGTAGCAGGCGGCGATCTCCTTCGTGGGAAGTTTGGCCAGGCTGCCCTCTGCATAGCCTGTGGTTGAAGGCAAAGCCTAAAGCAGTTTGATGCAGAAGGACCTGGAGAAGTCAGAGGAGGAGCAGGAAAAAGCAAAGTGTCTGGAAGGGCCTAGGACCCCAGAGGAAATTTGGTGCTAATGTTTAAGAATCGTGCTGAGATGCTCACTTTGGCAGCATGTATACTAAAATTGGAATGATAGAGAAGATTAGCATGGCCCCTGCACAAGAACCATGCTGAGGCCCCAAATGTTGCACGGTTTTGGGTTAAACCACTACCTGCCAAAGTAGCATTTCATATGGGCACCAGTTTCTGTCCCAGCTGCTCTACTTGTGATCCAACTTCCTACTAGTGCACCTGGGAAAGTAGCAGAAGATGCGCCTCTGTACTCAGCTGAGACCTGGTTGAAGCTTCTGATTCCTGGCTTTGGCCTTACTCAGCCCTGGCCATTATAGCCATTTAGGGAGTGAATCAAGTCAAGGATGAGCAGACCGTAGTCACAGGTCAAATTTGACCTGCACATATTCTTTATTTCTCAATAAAATGGAGTTTTATTGAAACAGACCATATATGTGCAGCCACTCATTGTTTCTAGTTGTTTTAGTATTAAAATGACAAAATCCAATAGGAGTGACAAGGTCCGTAAATCCTACAGAACCTAAACATATTTACTCTCTGCTCTAGAAAAAGTGTACTAAGCCCTGCAGTGTGTTATCAACAGATGGAGAAGATACATGATTGAAAATTATTCACTATGTTGCTAACCTGTTTGGGGGTCAGGACCTATACGGCTACAGGCCAGTCTTGGCTTACATATGGCACTTCTACCACTTGCACTGAGCCCCTGTTAAGGCCACTGGTAGTGGAGACAAAATGCTGACCTGTACCTGCCACTCAAAGTTTTTCACTTTTTTTTTAAACACTCACTATGAAGATAAAATTGTGCTTCCCAGAACTCCATATAGAAACTAGTATTCAATGCAGTTTGGATTTATGCTCTAGTAAAAAGATGAGAGGATGGGGAGAGGTCTTACAAGAGATATTTCCAGCACTGTATTTTTCTCTCTCTCTCTATCTTTCTTTCTTTCTTTCTTTCCTTCTTTCTTTCTTTCTTTCTTTTCTTTCTTCCTTCCTTCCTTCCTTCCTTCCTTCCTTCCTTCCTTCCTTCCTTCCTTCCTCCCTCCCTCCCTCCCTCCCTCCCTCCCTCCTTCCCTTCCTTCCTTCTTTTCTTTTACTCATCTTGCAGAAATTCTCAACTTTTATTTGGGGGTGAGAGTAGGGTAAACTCTTTTGTCCCCTTGGGTCTTATTGTTTGCATATCTTCTTTAAACCAGCGAGTCCAATTCCTGCTACAGTGTGCAATCCCATAGTCCCTGGCTGTTGTGAGAGATGCCTCTGAGGTGCAGAGGTGTCGGTGGCTGAGCAAAATACAGACCTGGCAGTACACTGAACTCCCAAGGCCCAGCCTTTCCTCTGCAGAGGAAGACGGCTATGTGTCAGGAGCCTCCGCCTACTCCTTTGCCCTGAGCCTTTGACGCTACCCTGAGGAATCTGTCCTCTCTGGGCAGGACTGATGCAGCATTGCTAAATCCCCTGAGGACACAGGAAACTCAGCTGCTGCCTGAACCTTTTTCAAGAGGAAACCAGCTGGCCATGGTAAACTGGCCTAGGATTGGGAGTTTGCAAGCACCTTGTTAGCGTATGTTTTCTTTCCTGGATCTTAAATCAACTTGCTGTGCATTTGGGTGGCAGCGCTTAGCTGCTAAGTGTGGTGACATCACAGGGAGGAACTTTGCAATTTGCCTCTTGGTACAAATGAGTCGAGGCTGATGATTAATAAGTGAAATAATGGGAAAGTGTATTTGTACCGACATGAAAATTCTGATGGGATAGAATCACTGGGAGAGGGAAACAAGCAACACTATGGTTAAACCACAAAGGGATTGCACAGGGAATTTTCTCACTTAGGTGAGGCTGGTGTTTTTGGCCCTCTTCAAGGTCTGTATCAGAAGGCAGGATCCTGAGCTCAGGAAACCATGGAGAACATCATAATGAACATTAAACCCCATCCTGCACGAGGGAGATGCCCCAGCACAAGGTGGAAGAAAAGCTCAACTTTGCCTCTGACTCACCATGTGACCATGGAAAACTCTAATTTAAAAACATGGAAAAAGTTGGATGTTCCCTTGAGAAACATCTGGTATCACCTCCTACTCATCTACTCAACCCTTATGTCCCAGCAATAAGGAAATTTGAGACCTCTACTACTGTGGCAGGAGGAGAACAAACTGCAGACGGCTGGGGCAACTCAGTTGATTCCCAGCTTTATCCTGGTCATGGATGACTGTTGGATAATGTAAGTCCAGCTGCTATAACAGACAAACCCTGGAACCTTAGTCACTCAGTCCAACAGAAATGTTTTATATGTAAGTCCTTCTTCACCTATGGCACCATCTTGGTGAAAAGGGTTTCACTGTTACATTCTTAGTAAATGATTTTGTAAGCCATTAGCACTAAAAGAGGGCATGTGTATGTGTATGTGTGTGTTTTATAGCACACCCTAGCAGTCACTTAAATCAGGGAAACTTAAGTCCAGGGTTTGAGAGACCCTAACCAGCTACCCGTTTATGATCCAACTTAGGTGAGAATAAGAACGTTTTTTAGTTGACATAACAGATTTTTGGAATGAATTCCTTGGGGAAATGAGTGGTAATTAATATATACATGTATAGGAAATACTGAATAGACATTTCTGTCCTCACTTGGAGGGAAGAAGAAACCAGCGAGAGTCTTCACAGAGGCGTTCTTGGGGCACATTCGGTAGCTCTAGAAGATCCTGCAGCTTAGTTCAGATCAGAGGCATAGCTGAAATCTTCAGCAGACTTTTGTTTAGAACAACTTTTTCTGTCTGGTGTTGCTTGGCACTTGCTGTGTTTTATTGTGTCAGATTTTACTGTTGTACTGGAGCCTGTTTTTAATAGATGAACATGTGGCATTGTGACCTCAGATAATTATATTGGGAAATCTAACATATCACCTGGCAGAGGAGGAGAATCATATTTCTCACCTGTCCCCAGCTGCTAACTAGTACTTAGTTACTGCCTAAGTACTATGGAACTCACTGAACAACCGATCCACTAGATCATTTTCCCGGATTCACTAACATGATCTAAGAAAATTGTTTGGGCATGATAGAGGAACACTGGTTTTTGACCACAGCCTAGTGAATATAACTAGATTCATCCCTCTACTAATTCTTCCCAGTTCTATGGGCCATGACAAAGAGTGACTCAAGACAAACACCTCACTGTAGTCTCAGTGAAAAATGTTGAGTGAAAATCTTGCTTTGAGAAACAGACATGGAATGGGTAACAAAATGTTTTTTCTTTAAAACGGGATGTGAGTCATCTTAGATTTCTTTCCTTTCTCTAAATAAATTGGACATGCTCCAAGCCTCTGCTTGGCCTGAGTGGTGGAAAGGTTAACCTTTGTTTCCATGGTGTTTTTATCTATGCCATGTTAATGTGCCATATTTGGTTCTCAAAGACCACAGCTAAAATGTCCAGTATTCAAAGCTTCACTACTCCTTGAAGTGGAGGTTCTTCTTGGGCTTCATTTTGGGGTCCTGATGGCATTGTCCAGGCTGGGTCCTAGGGTAGTTCCCTACTGAGATCCTGCCACAAGGGGGCAGTGCAGAGGCTATTAGTGCTTGTGGGGCCCACACAAATTTGCTATCATGGAATATGCTCTCCAAATTCCTTTCTGGTTTTGTTTGTTTCTCATTCCTTCCATTTCTAAGAAAATTTCCTATAATTATTCTTTAAGGGGCCTCAAGGAACCCAAAATAAACTTTGCCTCTTGGAATGGTGACTGGAAAACAATATGCCAACATTGGTTGGAAGCAGTCCCTTCAGCGTAACTCACTTGTGACAGGAACCACATCCAGTGACATTAAGAAATGGATGACAAGATAGCTATAGAATTGTTGCCTCAATTACCCAGCAAACAGGATGTGATTTTAAGAGATATAAAACAGCACATAAAAAAGTGGAAATCTTAAAGTCAAAGAAAATTATTTGCATTTGGCAGGAAAATATTCATCTTTGTTTTATAAGAAAATAAATATTCAGTTATTAATATGGCACCATTATTACAGCACCATTAATACAGCACCATTATTTTAATGTTTGGTAATAACACGAACAGCCTAGTGATGGTCTGTATCTGCTTAACTTTAGGCATTTTCATGAAATTGATCTCATTTGACCTTGACATCTTGGAAAGGAAGCATGGCACTTGATTTTCCCCTTTTTGAACAAAAAACTAAGACAAGTCAAGTTTTTCTATGTTAAATGATATTTGCAGTTAATCAGTCAGCAGACAGTTGAGTTTAACTAGGTGCCAAATATATTGTTTTTTTCCCTGTGTGAATTGGAGTGAAAATATGGTTTATAGACAACTGACTTGTATTCTTGTTAGTCTGAAGTGCATCTTTCAAATTAGCCATGAAAGACTTTTCTTATAATACTCAAAGAATGAATGAGTCCTTCTTGCCTCTAGATTATTTACTCAACCCTAGCTGCACCAACTAAGTGAAGCTCCCAGCACGCTGTAGTTGAGAGCTCCTTGGCGAGAGGTGTGTGGAAGTATTTGGCATGTGTATTCATTCACTCATTCATTTGGAAACATTCAGTAGCAATTACTGTATGCCAAACGCCATCCCAGGCTCTAGTGTGGCTTTGTTCAGTGTATTAGCCAAGGGTCACAAGAAGCAATTTCAATCCACATTAGTTGTACTCAAGTAAGTAGCTTTTTTCCTCAGTCACAAAAGCCGAGTTTCAACTGCTCAGTAGCTACTAGGTACCTGCAGCGAATGATTGGGGCAGAATTCACAAATGTTTTAAAATATTTGTACTTTGTTAAAATAATAATATTGAAAGAAACTATTTAAAAAATGAAAAGTAAGCTACAGTTTCAGGAAATATGTACATATATGTATAATAAAGAATTAAAATGTAGGAAAAATATGTGTTAAGTACTGAGAATGGCAAGACTATTAAAATGGGCAAAAATTCTGTATAAAATAGTATAGAAGTGGCATATATATATACATATATGAAAATGTGCTTAACATTATTAATCATCAGGAAAATGGATTATCTTGCAAGTGGGGCACTTTCGTTATTACAGAATATTTTGTTAGAGTGAGAAAAATAAAAAAGGATCGCAGTTGATTCTTTGTAAGAACTAATAACTACAAGGT